TCATCTTGGAGGCCAAATGAAGGTGATTTAAGTTTTTTTTTTTCTAAAATACAGGACAGCGTTAATTTTCCCTTAAAGGGGCAGGGCACTCAAGTGGATTCTGGAATTGTATTTTCATAATAATAGCTCAATCTACGGGCTGTAAGCATCCTAAAAAAGCCTAAATTACACTGATGGGTGGCCGATTTTTTTTATTAAAATGAAAGCAAAGATTACGACACGTCCCTCTTTCTGCGCCTTGGAGCATACACCAAAGGGCGCCATCGGACGGCGTTTTCGAACAGTAATGGCTGTATTACGTCTGACGTTTTTCTGAAAATATTGGACACCACGTGCCCAAAAAGAACAAGAATAGTAATGTTCGAAATCTCCATGCAATTGACTATTTTTATTGGCAAATTTTATGAACCTGGTGGGGACCAAGGATGACCCCTCCAAGAGAAAATAGGGCCAGTTTATTTATATCGCTGTGAGTTTAGTATAACCTCTTTCCATCTATAACTGGTCATTTTTATTGAATAAGGGCCAACAAACAATATGCCATAAAAAAAAGAAGCACTCATAGAAAACACATGAGTGCCCCATAAAATAAATTACAATGGACATACGTTAATACGCACCGATTTGGCTTTCTTTCCCATGGCAGCTACTTTGTGGACTTCCTAAAGTAAGCACCGGGATTGACTCGATGTTTTTCATTTCATTGCGTTCTTCCTTATGTTGTAATAACAAACCAGTTGATAGTCAGCGCTGTGTCTTGTGTTCTTTTGGTCTCTTTGTGTCCTCGTCCCAGTCGCGATGTTCTTCAACATGAATAAAGTCACCTTTAATTTTTCGATTGTTTCAGAAGTACCGCGCTGTTTTAAACAACAGCATGCAGAAACAAAACTTAAAAAAAGCTCACAGCGTTGAGAACATGACGCTTACTCACAATTTGTTTTTATCGGCTCCAAAACGCGCTTTTCGTACTGTCCGTGTGTGTTAGATTCACCGGATTAGAACCTGCTCATCTTCTTAATTCTTGTGAAACGCAGACCGCTGATTTTGCGTGACAGAAAGAGCCCACATCTTGGGTCCCCCCTCGGCTTTGATATACGCCTCGCAAGTGGGCTCATTTTTGTCTTCTGCGCATGAGAAAGGAAGTAGCGGTGACGTCAGAACGCCGAGCCCTGATTGGCTGATCGCGACCCCCTATCCGAGCGTCGTCTGCTCCTTTGCAACGTCGTCTGCTCGCAACGTCGTCTGCGTCACCTTTCTTGCGACGTTCGGAAGTGCAGGTCTTTACGAGCGAGCTCGACTTCGGCTTTCAGAGAGGGCAGACGAAATAACTCGAGCGGTACGTTGTTTTTGTCTAACAACCAGCAGACGTGCATCAAGGAGGGAAGTCAAAGGACTCACTGGCGAGGTGTCCCGAGGCGCCGAGGTTTGTTTGCTAAGAACCGAGAGGTGAGGATGCTTAGTGTCCGCAAGTTCCCTCCCAAATACTTTTTCCCTCCTTTCGTGTGCGGCGAGACCCCTGATTCTTCAACGGCGTCGGCGAGTTGGTGCAGTTAACGTCGTCTGCTTTACGTCTGCTAGTCAAAGCGATGGCTGCTTTACCTTTCCTGCGTCTGTCGGAGATTCACCGCTTTTTTACCGGCGAGAGTCACCGTTGCCTCGAGAAACAAGGAGATAACAAGAGGAAGAAATTGACCTCTTAATCTAAAATTGAGGTCAGCAATCAAAGTACAATACGGGAAGGGTTCACAAGGGTCGCGCGGGCATATTCGATTCAGCACGCCAGCCGGTCGTGGGCAGACGGTCACCGAGTCGCGGAGTGCCTGCTAGGCCTAACTGCCGTACTCGCTTGCTCGTGTTCGTTGGAATCGTGGTCGTTGGAGCTTTTCCCGGGTGTTTCTGGATCCAGCGTTCTTGTTCGTCGTGGTCTGTTTCAAGTACTTTTTACTTTTTTTCTTGCTGCTTCAAGTTGGGACGCGTGAGAAGCGCACGTAGAAAAATAAACGTCCGTGGGTCGTCGCGATGCGACGCTGTCGGCCATGCTGATTTGATCGTAAGAAGTGCGTAGACATGTAGCTTCGGAGCTGTCGTAGGATTTCGTCGTAACCTGCGCAAAACTTACGAAAATTTTGTTTCGTGAATACGAATTCGTTCTTAACTTATGTCTTACGCACATTTTGGCGTAAGATCGTTTCGTGAATCTGCACTTCCGAAAGCCGCAGGAAAGGTAAGACAGATGCAGACGACGTTGCGAGCAGACGACGTTGCAAAGGCGCAGACGACGCTCAGATAGGGGGGCGCGATCAGCCAATCAGGGCTCGGCGTTCTGACGTCACCGCTACCCCCTGCGCAAGAAGCAGACGAACTTGCCCTCCGCATTATTTGCTTTCGGTTATCTTGCGTGAGTGTAAAACCGTTTTGAGCCGGGTTAATTTTTTTTTTTTAAAGAGAACTGAACAGTTTGAACGATAATTAATACAGAGTTCCAGGGGACCGTTCTTACACATCCGATACGGTACGAGGGGCCCTCCAGTACGAACTGCGCATGCGCTAGCGCAGAAGAGTCGCGCATGCGCAGTTCGTACCAGAGTGCCTATCGTACCGTATCAGTTGTTCAAAAACGGTTCTCTACAACTCTCTGATGACGCACATGCTGATGTGACCATCAAACTTTGCATTAAAAAGTTTGTGCAGAGAACTCGGAGTTCACGGTTCCAGTTTGAAACCCAAAAAATCACCATATCAACTGTCCAAACAAAGCGTTCAACCTCCTTTCGTTTACCTCTCTAACAATAGATTCATTTTTTGTTGTTCGCACGCTGTAGAAGCTGTTGCTGCGGATGTATCGGAGCATTTTTAGCTCAAAACCTGACGACTACGTAGTCGTAAATCCGGAAATCGAGCAGGAGGGGGAGAACCGCAAAATTAATAACGGTTACAAGTAATTTTAATATTTCCAAAAGTAGCCAGTGTACCTTTGTGATTAAAGCCTAATAAAAGCTGTCAAATAATTGCAAAGTTCCTAAAAAAACCTATTACAATTAATTTGATTACTCGTGATAAGTACCGTATAGGCTTGTAGTCTGCAGTGGCTAAATTTCCTATCTACAGCGAATACACTAGACATCTGTTGGAGCTTACTAACTACCCTTTATCTAAACGAACAATGAACATAATTGCAGTTATTAGAGGGGCGGTGCAATGATATTCAATTAGAATGTTTTTCACTTTGCACGAGCTTACTGGCACTAGTGGAGCTCAAGGATGCCCGCACGCAACGCCACTGACCAAGAAACTCCTTTGTTGCGCTGTAATTTCGAGGACAAAACCGAGATTTTTCATTCAAAATATCCTTCGCAAAACCTGATGACGTAGCTGGGCGGTAGCAGTACCACCCAGTGACGCCGTTTGAATGCGGCTCATAGATTGGACCCGAGCATGGCGTGGACACTCGATTTGGGCTCGTGATAATCTATAGCTCGAGAAGCATTCGGGTAGTGTCCTGTGTCCAATCGCTGCAATGACGATAACAGCCGAACCAGAACAATGTCTGTAACTCAGCGCGTGTACTGTGCTTTGCCAACCCCAGCGCAAGGCATAAGGCGGCATATGATCGGCTCCAGATCACGCGGCCGCTTGTTCTGGCTGCGAGTTGAGGAAGTGAACTCTGCTCGTCTTTTTTTATTTTTTTTTTCTGCGACTTCGATTGCGTGTGGTGGAAAACGAACGGGTATTTCACAGGTCAATAACGTCAGGGATCCGTCCTAAGCGGTATCTGCGCAAAATAAAAAAATCGTTGCATCGCCCCTTTAATGCAGGTATTGTAGCTGCCGCTCTTTTTTCAAATTAGTTTCGATTTGGAACAGTCTGCAGTAATGAAATGATCTAGCCGCTAGCGACCAATATTCTTTTGTGTTTATTTTAGCGTGCGGCTGTACCGCACGCTGAAATAAACGCTGCATACAACGCACGTTGTATGCAGCATGGAGATTTGACTTCTAAGTTTAAGTTTCTAAATTAAATATGTCCTCTAACTAAAAAGGTAATTTAACAAAAACATTTTTTTTTTAGTTTCTCCTTTAATCCTACAAGCAACCTTGTTCCTGGTGGCCGCCAAGTTGGGTAAGCTAAAGGCAGAAATAAAAGTGTCGCAATGTACCTCTTCTCTTATTCTGAAAATTTTCTGCAGCTAAAAAAGCTATTTTCCAGAAAATAAATGCAGATTAATCAACTTGACTCTTGAATTGAGAATAAAGATTAAGAAGTGACAGAAAGACAAAATATGGCGAAGCCGGAATTTGACTAAGGTCATCACGTTGCCGGTGAGGTATGCTAACCCCCGCACCATCCTGCTTTGACTTTCGGTGTTTTGTGTCTCTGAATGCACCTTAACAGAATATTCGCAACTTTCACGGGCCAAAAGGGCCGCACCAGTTCGTTACAAAATTTCTGTCACGTGGATGATTGTCGTACAACTCCAGTGCGAGGTTGGGTCTGCGACGTGCATACGTAATTCTAATTTAGCGAAATACAAGCGATATAAGAATCATACCTCATACTTCGTAATTTATACTTCCACGTCAGGAAGGTGTAAGCAAGCAGCTTTATTTGGACACCCATCATCCAATAGCTAGGGAGTGTGATGCTCAAACAGCGGTACCACCATCGCTGCAAGGTGCGAATATCTCGTAAGTGATGGCGCACGACGCCGCGTGGGACCAACACCACCCAGAACAATCAAAGCCCGTGGACTAGAATTTTGACATCATCACAGTGAGATTAAGCCAAGACACTGATTGGAAACGAGTGACATTTTCTGGAACGAGGTACGTGCTGCAGGTGCACCCGATGTCCTCTCACTGTTTTTCCCACCACGTGTAGAACATGCATGCTTCCTCGTTTACGGGTTTCTAGAAACACGACGTCATCGTCTGCGAGTGTCAACAGCCATGTGGAATGTATCACGGGTCTGGCCACGGTGGGAAAGTTGCTGTTCCACTCACCGAGTCCTCTTTGAGAAGCTGGGGCAGCTTGGAGATGGCGTGCTTGGTGAGGGCCGGGATGTGTGGATGCTCCACCTGGATGTTGCAGTGCTGACCCCGAAAGTCCTCGTCACCCTCGGCGGTTGGCGACAGCACCTCGAGGCACTGGTCATAGTCGCCGTAGTCGGACATGGTCACGTCCAAGATGCCCGACGGTGGCCGGCCGATGGAGTCCAGCACTGTCGAGACCATGATCAGGAAGGTGAGTTGTTGAGAGTTTGCCCCTCTCTCGTGTGGTCAAATATTAATAATCAAAACCACTGTTTGTTTTGTTAATACTCTTGGGGTACAAATTGTTTCGAAGCTAATGATTTATTTATTTATTTAATTACCTTTAAGCGCCCCGGTGAAGCCTCACATAAAAGGGGATATCATGCAACGCACATGAGTAATTGAACGAATACTATCAGTATAAAAAATTGTATAACACTGTATGAATGATGCATCCACAACAAAGGATCACAATCAACCACGCAGAAAGAAAACAACAAATGCTGTTGCTAAGCGAGCGATACACATGTTTACGAGCGGTGAGTCATTTAGAATCACGCAGCACTGACATGAAGAATTCGCGGTTTCTGACGAGAGCTCTTTCATTTGCTAGCCCATTTCAGTCAGTCGCGGCCAGGGCGAATTGGCAATATTTAAACGAATTAATCTTGGCAAAGGGATTCAGCAAGGCAGAAAGTTGGGTGGGTTGGTTGAACATCTTAAAAGGTAAAACAGCGGAAACAACGAGCCATAAGGCATTCAGTTACAAGTCCGCGCTGTGTGTGTGCCTTCCTTGCTTATTGTGTCACGTTTCTTGCACTGTTTTATCTTGTAAGTTGGCAAAGGAAGTCTAAAATTTTTAATTATGATCATGACGAGGGGAAATCCGTTGAGTGGTATAGGATGTTAGTTAACCGAAGTCGCGAATTACCTCCTATGATTGAGCAGCAATAAACAGATGGAGTCTTTAAGTTGTGTGATATTTACACGTGACTATATATTAGTATGAACCAAGTTGCCCTGTTTTGTATCGATTCAAGACTGACGAGTTAAGTAGCGTATTTCCTCGACTAATAGCCCCGCTTCTTATGAACAATGCTTGTGGGTCCGCTTTCCCGCCTGCTTTCCCGCGGAGCACAAGAATAGCGACTCACCTCGACCGGTAGAAAAATGACAACGATTTATGGGCAAAAAAAGAAAAAGAAATGTCTGCAAGCGAAATCGCTGTCCGCTCAGATTGCACTTTTACGGAGAATCTTGTTCTCGACCTTGTCATCCGCTGCGTTTTTTTTTTTTTTTGTTTGTTTTTCTTTTGCAAAATGCGATGATCGGGTGTATGCGTGCTCTGCAGGAAAGTAGGCGCAAGGGCCTCGTTCATTAGAAGGGCGGCTATTACTTAAGCAAATACAGTATTGTAATGTGGGTTCTAAACTATACACGCATATTCCAACTTTGGCCTAATGAAAGTGGTGCACACAAGTAGCTTGGTTTCCACCGTTGCCATATGCAAATGTCTTCTTTAAAACCCCATGTTTGATTCGCGCTCTCACTAATGAATTCTTTATGGACATTTCACGATAGGGTAGGAGTTAGGTGAATACCTAAGTATTTACTATATGAATTAAAGTTTTCTAACTTGAAATCTATAAGTGTATTTGTAATGAAGCATTGTAAGACGGTTAATAAATGCCATAGATTTTTTTAAATATTACTTTGAACATGCTACTTATCACGCAGTAAAAGTAGGGCGGCCAAGTCCATTTGAAAAGCTAGACAGTCAACATATTTGATAATGGGCGGTGGATTACACAGTTGTGGCAAATAGGCGGATTTTTGAACGGTCATCTGGAAGATCGTTTATATATATTGAAAAATATGTGCCAAGAACTGATCCTTGAGGAACTATCGACTTCACATTTATTGAGAAGGGGGGGGGGGGGTTGACGTTATTTACGATAACCGATTGATTTCTATTGCTCAAAAACTCTTGAATTCGTGTGATTGCAGTTTCGTTAATTTTAAGATACCGTAATTTTATATACAGTATTTTCTCAAGTAATAGCCGCACTTCTTACGAACAAGGCCTGCGCGTCCGCTTCCCCACGGAGCACGGGGAGAGCGAATCACCGCGATCGGCAGAAAAATGGCAGAAATTTAAAGGGACAGAGGAAATGTCTTCGAGCGAAATTGTTATCTGCTCAGATCTCATTCTAGGTAGAATCTTGTTCTCGACCTTGTCATTCGCTGCGTTTTTATGCAAACAGCAATGATCGGCTGTATGTGCGCTCTGCAGGAGAGTAGGCAGAAGGCCTTGTTCATAAGAAGGGTAGCTATTACTCGAGCAAATACGATAAGACGACTGCGAGAGAGGGATTCGATCAAATACTTAAAAAAAAGCAATGAAAACTGTGTCAGTTTGTCAGGATAAGTGAATGTTGTGTAAATGAGGTACCAGTTAAAAAGGTTGAGATTCACATGAAATACCTTGTGGAAAACCACGCTGGTTAGGAGAAAGTATATAATTAGAACTGGAGTGTTCATTATGAATGAATATATTATATCCTCTAAAAGTTGAGATGAAATGAACGTTAGTGAAATGACGCTATAATTCGATAGACTTTCACGATTGCCAGACTTATGAACTGGAATTACATTTTCTAATTTCAGTACCGTCGAAATGCAACCAGCATCAAGAAACTGCAGGAATATACAAGCTAGCAAGAAAAACACCCGACACAATTTTTGTTAATTTGAAGCAGCTTTGAACAAGTCAGGCCTCAGACTCCTTCGGCGGCAAACGATCAGTGGTACTGAAAACCCCGTCAACACTTATAAATATGTCATCATAACGCTTTGTTTCGCTTGTGCCCAGAAACAACCACAGATGAATCCCGCGTGGGTTCATCTGTGGTTGTTTCTGTTAAACGCAAAAGGCCAATAGTGCAACGTTAACAACAAATGTACGACAAACAAAATATACGTGACATGCCTCGGCATACTCAGGAAAGTAACATCGATTCATGCATAAGTAAACTTGAGTAATGCAAACAAGTAACGCGATAAATTAAAACAACTCTTCGGGCGCCGTTTCTGAAGCAAGGTTACCCCTTGCGACGTTCTATCAGTAGTAGCACGACAGATTTATTCAATTGGAATGCATATACACTCTAAAAAACGCCCGTGCGTCTACTTTCCCGCACAATACTCGGAGTGCCAATCACCGCAACTTACGGAGTCAGCTCAGCAAATGACGATGCCGAAACATATGTTTAGACCAAAAAACGCCGTCTGAGTTGTGACCTTAAGCAATTCAAGCGTGACGTTTTGCATTGCTTAATGTCACAACTCAGACTGCGTTTGTTGGTCTAAACATATGTTTCGGCATCGTGATTGGCTGAGCTGTCTCCGTAGGTTGCGGTGATTGGCTATCCGAGTGTTGTGCGGGAAAAAAGACGCACAGGCTTTTTTTAGAGTGTAGAACTAATGGAAAAGTTGCGCGTGTGCCATTACCTGTCCTAAAACTACGCTCGAAGTGTGGAGCGTTTGCTCCCTTGAAAAAGCAATGGGAGAGCCAATCACTGCATTCCAGGAAGGGAGCGCTGGAGGACCAATCACAGGGCTGATCATATGTTTAGACTTGGAAAAACTGTCTGTGCACGCCGTGGGACTCAGCATGACATTACACAGTGCTCAGTGCCACAGCGCAGACAGTTTTTCGGGTTCTAAATATAAGATCAGCCCTGTGATTGGCCGAGCTCCCTCCGTGGATGGCAGCAATTGGCTCTCCCAACTGCTTTGCGGGAGAGCAGACGCTCCAGATTCCTTAGAATGTACGGCACATTAGACCAATCATTTTTTGGTTTCTCCGCGACAGCAGTTCGCGCTCTGATCAACGTTTCGAACGTTGGACTGGGAAGCGATAATTGGCCTTACTTTTTAGAGTAGACGTTTTTTTTTGTGGTACTTTAAAAGTACACGTCCGAACCAAGACATTTCTGTTATTAGATACCTTTTCTTTAAGTAAGCCACATTCAATGTAGGATGTCACCTCGGTCTTAGAACATTGCACCGCGCGTTACTCTTCAACCGATAAACACTAAAAGCACATTAATAGTAAGGGCATTTTATAGCTAATGGTTATTTCTGGCTTTGTTCACTAAATTAACTTTTACAACGAGTGAACTCGCAAACAAACGAAACCAGACAACGAAAGCGCTTTGCCTGTTGTACTTTTAAACTTAACAACGAGTGAACTCGCAAACAAACGGAACCAGACAATAGAAGCGCTTTGCATGTTGTACTCTTAAATTTAACAACGAGTGAACTTGCAAACAAACGGAACCAGACAACGAAAGCGCTTTGCGTATTATACTCTTAAACGTTTTTAGACTTCTTGGCATTTAGCTGCAACTGAATTAGATAAATGAGTGATTGAATGGATATACAACGCCATAGTTCTCGCTCGCTGTTTATGTCGGTGTCGCCATGATCACGTTAGTTACAGTTCTTTCTTCTATGTCTCGAACAGTTTTTCTTGCTGCGAAATTGTCACCCCCTTTTCTCTCTCCCCCCTGCCGTCCGCACACGGGGTCCATGTCATCGCTATTGGCGATGATGGCGCAAGATCTTCGGCAAGATCTAAAGCATAAAACGAAGAGCAGCGGCGTTCGAATTGCCTGGCATCTAAGTGTGAAATGACGGCTCCTAACACAGTGGCGTGTTGCGTTCTCGACATCCACTCAATTGTAATTTTACGCACAGGGCCAACATTGCATTTCTACGGGAGGTGCTTGCCTTAGATGTTTCGAAGAGTCAGCACGGTGGGCAACACTCTCCAGCAACTTGTCGCCTGCGAGAGGCGGAATGTTTCAGGCACGAGCAATACAAGATCGCTCAGGCCGAGTGGACGCGACCTCTCTCGTGGCACTCTGATATTTAGCTACATTTAAAATGTTACTCAGAAAAAAAAAAGTGTGTTTCTTTAGTTACAACATTTTTTTAAGCAAAATTTTAGTTTACATTACACTGGCGTTGGAAGCTCGATATACTTAAATTTTGGGTTGTGGGGGGAGGGACACTGTTCTTCAAATCTCTTACATCATTTTTTTCAATGTTAGCGCTGAAGTATAGCGCTTAAGCGCACCAAAATTAGGCACGCTAATATATATCTTAAAAATATGCTATAAGCTGTCATAAAATGTTCAAGCTTATGGTGATTAAGCTGCTCAAAATATGCTCCAAAAATATTTAGTGCATGCTAGCGTAGGAATGTGAAGCTCAAAGCTCAATTGGTGGGAAAATGCTTAAAATATACATCTAACTCTACTATCATGATTTTAAATTATTCCAGTTTTGAACTTGCAATTTTACATAATATATGCATGCATAAATATTGCCACATATCTTCACCATAAAGATATCTTATTTGCAAATGAGTATGGAATGCATCTCGAAATATCCAACGTATGGTATAAAACTCCTTTATACGATTACGTAATAATGCTTGTTGTCATTTGCTTTCTTTAAAACAGTATCACATTGCTTTGCTTCAGGGGTTCTGGAACCGGGGTTCCGTTTTTTCGAAATAAATCTGGAAAAAAAAAAAAAGAAACCGAAAAACACTTGCCGGTGAATAGTTTGTCAATTCGGATTCATCCAAAAAACTACGAATTTCAAGGTTAAAACTAGCAACAAAAAATACGAAGCTTTACAACTGAACTTTATAAAAGCGCAAGGTCAGTGGCTCTGAGGAGATTCTACTTCAGTTTCCCTTGAAATTTTATACTGGCAAAAAGGGGCTTGCTTTTTAGCATGTCGAGGTTCATTGGGGAGAACGGGTCGTAGTACCCGGACCTTTTTTTAGTTTGTTTTCGAATTTTTTAACTTTACGCAGTAAAATAAACACCGAATTAAAAAAAAAATAGATATAAAAAAAAGAAAACGGTTGACAAACGCCGAATTCACAGCGGAAAATGAACTCTGAAAAACACATTCTGAGTTTCACGAGAAATAAACTCCGAAAACACGAAATATTACTTATAAGTGGTCAAGTGGTCAGAGCGCGCTTTTCTGTAGTTTCCCGGGGACAGCCTTGATGCGAGCTTCTGGCGAATCCGTTCGGATCAGTGGACGCCGCCACCGGCTCCCGCGTGGGTTCCCGGCCGTTCGCGATGCGCGTCGTCGGCTACCGTGGCCTCGCTCCGCTGGGCGCGTGCGACGGCGAGAGCGCAGCTGCTTGGCCAAGGAGCTTCCTTCCGCACTTGCTCGGATGACCAGCCGCTTGGCCTTGCCGCACCCGCTGCCGCTGCGAAGGCCGGCTTCTGCCGCTGTCCTCAGTCCACAAAACGCGCACTTCTCTGCGCACGTGGCCGCAAAGTACGTGCCAAATCATAACGGACGGTCACTCATGCCTTAGAGCTTCGTTCTCTGCCAACTTATACAGTCAGATCTCGCGATTACGGACCCTGTTAATATGGGCATCCATCCGCTATGTAGTTAGACAACCTTTTTGGGAAAAGCATGCATTTCTGTGACGATAATAATACCTGGAGAAGAGGGACAAGAAAGAAAAAAAGAAACATAAATCTCCAAACAAAACTAGATGACAAGTGCGCGACCGAAAAAAATCCTCCTGGTTCTGATATTGATCCAGGGACCTCTTCATTTCCAGTGGAGCGCTCTACACAACTGACCTAACCACTATACTTAGACGCCAGTAGAGCAAACGGGTTTTATCAGCTGCCACCAATCTAACACCAACAAGGGTGAATGGCCTGCATGTTTAAGGTTACGATGATAACGCAATTAATGCAAAGGTGAAAACGAGCTCGGCAAGAGTGATACCAGGACCAGCGAAATTGTGTGGTCGCGCACCAGTCACCTAGCTGCGTTTGGAGACCTGTGTTTGTCCTTCGCCTCCCTTGTTCCCATTCTCCAGAGATTTTTACCGTCATTCTTGTCCAGCTCGTTTGCATCTTTGCATTAATTTCATTATCATGCATTTTTGTACGGTCGTTATGAAAAATTCTAATTTTGGGAAGTTTTTGTGAGAAACGGATGTGCCTGTACATTAACGAGACAGAACTGTGCGCGCAACGTTAGACTTTGCAAGTGTAAAGTTGCTTCGAACAAAGCTTTTTTCGTTATATTTTAAGGTAGGCAAAGGAATGGCCACTGGAAAAATCTAAGAGCGAGGGACCTCACGTATCGCATAAAGAATCGGAGATAGAGCCTGCTTTGCTTTGGCTTTTCTGTAGAGTCGGCACATGTATGACTTGTTCAGCAACAAATTCATGACATTTTTTGTCACGACTGCGGTCACCAAACCTGTCATCAGGCATTCAGTGTCTCTATAAGCCGAAGTGGAAGTTCATCATGCAGCCGAACGTGTTGAAGAGAACGCAAGAAAAAACGTGACGTGTTAGTGTGGAGAAACTGCGCACACACATGGAGACTGGATGGCGCGAAGCGGCCCTGTGTTTTGCAAGGTAAGCCCGTGAATGCTCTGCGGATGTCTTACATGTCGGTGCAATCTTCTGCGGTTGCAGTGTAAATGCGACTTTCTCAAAGGTTGTTGGAGTGTGAGACGCAGCAGACGGAGCACGCGGAAAACATATCAGTGGAACCCCGGCAGCACCAAGCGGAGTCCTGGCACCAGGTGGCGGCAAAAAAGAACCAAACACTCGGAAGTACCTAAACCCGTTGCGGCAAAAGAGTGCTTTTTTCTATGCTTTTCTGCTTTTTTCTTTCGCGCACTTCCTCTCCAGAAGTCCGGAGCGCGCTGGTTTCACGAAGCAGAGCGCCGGTGTATGTCTGAACAAGTAATGTTTTACCCCGTCGGGAGTAACATAGAGGCACTCCAGTAAGAAGCTCGGTTGGCACTACATGTCCAATCAGTGACGACACGAACGCTGCCTCTCCGTTCGGCTGGTAGTCGGCCTGTCGACGTTCGTTGCTGGAACCTAACCGACAGCAGCATAACACATTCTGCGTTAAAAAAAAAAAAAAAGTTATAAACGGAAAGCTTACATGTTGATGAAGATTATCGGCTCGAGGGCAGCAACCGTTCGCGCTCATCAACGACCAAGAGCAGGCACATTGTTCACTTTTCCCACCGTTACCCAAGAGCAAGGAAGAACCCTTCTACATAGCTCAAACCCACAAAGTGTCGGAAAACTGACAGGTGAAAGGGAAACGCGGAATAGGATAGGAGAGCATTTGCGAATCTACCCCCCTCACACACAAACACACACACACACACACACACACACACACACACACACACACCTCCCTACCCATAGGCATGCACAAATATTCTGCAATTGTCAATGAATTGAGCCAAGATTACAAAGCAACGAATTAAAAGATTCGGCAGCCTGCATCAAAACTTTTTCGCAAGTTTAGGGATCATAATCGTCGTGATAAAACTGCTCTGATGTCAAAGTCTTGAATCTTCCCATGATAGATATTTTCAAATATTCGAAAAAAAGAGACTAGGCATGTGTGATCATTGCTTCAGGAGGACATCATTACCGGATATAAGCATGAGGTGCAATTGACAGACAACTGTCGAAAAAATTAAACTTGTTTTGATTATTATCACAAGTCTGAAGGACACACGGGCAGCTTTGGTTATCAATATAATCAATATAATCACGGCAAGGTAAAATTTGTTCAGGAGGGGTGTGTATGAGAGCAAGTTGCTCGCCGTGTTGGTGGTGGTACCTCGTGGAAGTTTCACGTCGCCTATACTCCATTCACCCTTAAGCTGAAGCTAGAAACGCTGCCTTCTGCGCGAGGTCACTGACTTCTCCGTGCTCTCGTTGCGCGTGCCTGCGCGTTCATACTTGTCTTAGCAAGGGCAGTAACCTTTCTCCGAAGGCGGAGCTTCGAGTCTCAGCTTAAGTGTGAACGGAGTATAGGTTAGCCTAGCACGTGTCGCTGGCACAGATCTAGACAGCACCGGCTACGCAAGGTATGAGGTAGTGCACCGTACGAGGGCGCTGCGTTCGCTTCGCTTTATGTGGGAGGTGACGTCGCGCTTGGCCTTACATCGGTGGTGACGTCAGATCGCGCGATGCAAAGCCTGATACGGGGAGTGTCTCACGCTGCGGGCGGTGACGTCAGCTATGCCACCTGATGCCTTTTCGAATGGCGGAGGTTTATCGCCCATGGTATATGTACATCTATTGGCTGCTGTGCGAAATCATGACATCAAATACCCGCTCCACAACCGTTGGTGGATTATGATCTGCCCCGTGACGTCGCGGGATCACGTGGAAAGCTACACTTAGTCATTCTAGAGCTAGCTGCGCGCGCCAACGGTTCGCTACAGCATCGTGTGAGTCTTATTTACTCCTGTTGCCTGAACTCTCGTTCATCTTCTCGAGGCTCCGAGCAAAGGTGCCGGTGTGAAGATTAGTTCATTTGTTTATTTTTGTGCTGATGAAGAGCTGATGCCTTGGTAATATTGCACAAATAGTGCGATTACAAATCAGTCAAAAACAAGTAAAATACAAAAAAAAATAGTTAAAAACGTCAGTATCTGCTGCACAACGGGTGCTACAAGTGCTGTATGAGGGTGATAGGGCTAATGTAGATGATTTAATTAACCAAAAAGTAGGAGAAACACAAAACGTTTCTTGGAATGTGAACATGAATGGACGACGTGAGATCAGCGTTAATCTGTAAAGGCATTTATACAATATATTATCGCTCACGTCTTTTTGAACACAAAGTAGGGCAACTGCGTCGCTCTAAAAGTATCATATATTTATATTAAACTGTACGAGGAACATAATGATCATAAAAAGTTCAAAAGGAGCTTTTTATAATACTTTCTATCAACACTTGGTTCGCACGCCGAATACAGTTCAAGAAAGCAAAGGAGAACTCCAGCTTGGGCCGAATTAAAGAAAAGTATAATTTTGACATGCAGAATGACGTGGAGAACTTGCGCGTAATACTAGAAATAACACCCAGGTTACAAAAAAGAGTCAAAAATGGTAATAATAATGGGTACCTTAAAGAAACAAATGAGAGGTTGTATATACAATTAGTGCAAGTATCGATCTCTGCGGCACACCCGAAAGTAAAACATAAGGTTGGGAGTACCGTGTCCAGGAACAAGCAAGAAATTTTGTGGATTAGGCAAGTAATCCAGAAACAGTGCGCAAAGCTCTGTATAACGGATGATTCACAAAGTTATCCTGTATTTGGGCTAATTTTATGTTTTAAAAACATTTGACAGGATGTTGAAACAAATGAATGCGTAGGCCTTTTCGAACGAGCATAGCAAAGACACCGGCCTTAACTTGTCACATCACACGTTTTTACAATTTTATGCACTGGCATGGCTATAAAGTATATTCAAAGCGAAGGAAAAGTGAGGGTTGATAGGAGGTTAAAGTTGTGCCTTAAGATCGGTGTAAACATTGGGGAGCACCTTTTAACAATGAAAAGATTGCATAATCCGGATTTTGTTTTTACTGCGCTCTTGGCAAATCTGAGTAATTATAATAATTATGATTAAGTATAATTAAATATGACTCAGCCTTTTATACGTTTTATATGCCTATGCATTGCCTGCTATGAGCTGTGTGCTTTATGTTTCTCTGACTTGCGTGTAATTTTTTTGTTGTTGTTACGCTCGGGCGCAATGGTTAACGCATAAACTCCAACCCTTAAATACATCCTGTGTTAAAAATGCGCAAGATAATAGGAAGAGGCGTGCGTCATTTCGGATTACCCGTTTTAATGTTTTCACATAAGGAGAAATTTCGGAACGAAATAATTTCACCCTGATTTTTGGTTGACACTTTAGTCTGCATCTTGCTCGTGGCTTGTTTTCTGCTTTGTGTTCATGTTGTGGAAACCTAGTTTGTTGAACTGAACTGGGAACAACCTATTGAGAAAAAGAAAAAAAAACAAAAAAAACCTGGTTGGTATTGTCGAATCTGCTATCGGTTGAGTGTTGTTGCGCAAGAGTGTGACGCTCCCGCAACTTTTTTCAATGTCAAATGTTTCAAAAAGTTGGATATGTTGTTGAGGTACTAAGAAGAGGATACAAAAATAAATTTAATAAAAATAGAGTTTAAAACACTCTCCGTCGAATATATTGTTATGAAAAACTAACATTTCTTCTTGGTGGCAGGTGCCCAGAGAAAAGAACAGGAACCTGGAAGCTCCGGTACAGATATTGAGGGCTTGAAGAGGGTGTGTGACGATCGCATGGGCGAGTGTAGTCCAGGGACTCATGCCATAAAGTGCAGCATAATCGGTATGCTGAAAGTAGCACCACCTTGCACTCCTGATTTAAAGCAAAAAAGAAATATAGGCACATTGAGCTTTTTGTTTCTGATAATATTCAGCCGCTAATGGAAGCAGGAACACATATATTTTTATATTTGGGTTTGCTTTGTTTCATTTAAAACCTAAATTTTTCAAAGAATTGACTGGTGTTTAGCCATTGGGGCGATGCTGCCTGCTTACAAATTTTATCATGGTAATAACAGCACATAAGGCATGAAGCGTAAAACATCTGCCGGCCGCTGAAAAAACAAAAGAAAAAAAAAACTAGGAGTTGACACACTTTTTCTTGTAGCTTACCGTAGTAGCGATATGTACACATAACTGCATTTCTTCGATGCTCCTTCAGCTAATGCAAGCTAAGCCATTGTATGCATTCATCGTAATTCAAGGTACTGGAATACGACCTAAAGTGTCTAGGAACATAATCTTGGGTAGAATAATTAAGATAGCTATAAGGTCTGGAAAGCGAGGAAGTCGAGAACAAGGAAACACGCAGCACGTTTTTCTTCATTCCAGTCACGAAACGGTGAGTCTCCATTAAAGCCTCAGCAGGAAGAGCCTCTTTTTTTTTGTTCCTTCGTGCCATGAACCAGGACCGAGCAATTCGCCCTAAAAGCGGAACAACTAGCAAATTAATTCCGTTTTCAATGCAATGTAAACAATGTTTCCGGCATAGTTCATATCTATATATGCGAAGAGCAAGTTGTCTGCCTCTTGCGCTGGGGTTGCAGTGACGTCAGAACGACACTGAGTTCTGATTGGCTATGATTGAAAGGATAGTGGGTAGACCTCAATGCTAGATGCCTTCAGGTCTACCCACTATTTTTTTCCTCAATCAACCAATAAGTGTTCGGTGTTTTGACATCATCGCAACCCCCTTGTTCGAGAACCAGGCGAACTTGCACTCCGCAGAGTTGCGAGGAGCTTTGGAAACGCAGGGTGTGGCGAGTCTTTGGCATTCTGCCGCCGCTGCCCTCACCCAATCAGATTGCTGCAACGGGCAAAGAGAACGTTCGACGACCATTCACGAGGCAATGAGCGCGAACAGAATTAGTCACACCCTTCGTTTTTTCGAGCTGTGAGTGGCAACAGGATTCCGCGTTTTCGGTAAATACAGATAAACCCCGATAATTCCCTTCACCTTAATCCGGCTTACCCGAATCGGAACCCGCACCCCTTTCCCTCTCTTTCCTTCAAAACAAAAAAGAAACAAACGAGTTTGAACTACATTTTGAAGAAAAACTTGTTAAGATTCACAGGAAGAAAAAACTTTATATTACAGTTGTATATTCTACCCATCCGGAACACGCCGCCCATACCGCGTACTGTCCGCAAGGCTGCTTCATTCCTTGAAAACAAACACCTCGTCTCGTTTCTTTCTCTTCTTCTATTATCGATACGGAGACGTTCTGCAAGTATTCATCAACGCGTGTGTTCCCTGGAGGTTGAGGAATTTTATCTCCGTGCTCCGTTTTCTTTGATATAAAGCCCCCATTGTCAACGACATTTTGCCTGGAACCAAAATTCATTAAACCAACCACAACATTGAATCCAAGGGAAAACATAAGCCCCGAAAAAATACCCTCGCATTCGCAAAAACAAAAATAATAAACAACAAAGACACGACACCCTACTCATCGCTGACACAACTAAGCCTTTGTTCGCTCTTTCGAAGTAGCAACTGCCTGCTGCAAAAGGGGGGTTTTGCTAATTCATTCTCCTATCTTCAACGAAAGCCATTCCCCCTGTGCAATATCAAATCCATGTACTGTATTACTCCACTCCTTGAAGAGGGCTCACCTCAGTGAAATTTAATTCGGGACATTTTAACGCACAATGCTTAATTGGATTCATCAATCTCCAACTGTACAAATCAAATTGGCATCTAGGAAATAGAGGCTTTGGATAAAATGGCCCTGTACAAAATGATTTCAAATGCTAATGCGAGGAAAAAAGTCCCGCTTGATTTTTTTAAAACTTTCTGCGTCTTTGTGATGTTTTTAGTAAATTGCTATATTGAAGTTTGATACAACACACGTTCATATGTATATTACATTGCATTAGATAATCTCGGAATACAAAGATATTTGAGAGCAGGTAATGCAGGTTCCTTCTGCCCAACAGTCCATCGAAGTCAGATAGAATCGTATGAGATAATGAGCTCGTGTTGCTACGCGTAAGTTCTTCCCCAAGAGCTCGCAATTTTTGGAACGTGAGCATTCGTGGGCGGGCTTTTAACAGAGATGATGATGTTAGCATTCTTGACTTTTTAGAAACTTCATTACCTTCATTTGGGGATGAACAAACGGTTGAATTCATCTCGCAACAATTAATACACAATTATATAAGAATGTTTATTTGCAAAAACACTAACTGGTGTCGCAAAAAAAAAAACTTGGGTGACCCGCAAAATACTTTAAATAAAGTGAAAGGTCTTTAATATACGTTAAAAAAAGTTGACGATCGATTACATGACGCAAGGAATCGCCACATATTAGGAAATATCCCGAGTAAAGCAAAACAACATTATATTTTAAATCTGGTGCCCGAGTTCACAA